TCAGTGTCTCTTTTGAGTATACATATTTCTAACACATACACTGGAGTTTCACGGCCACCCTGGTGAAAAATATATTTCACGACTACTGCATATCACCGCGAATATCGCCTAGTTTTTCATCGAGTTTTACGCCATTTTACGTAAAACGGGTTGTTGTGAAACTCCAATAATATCTCCATGAAAATGAGATTAAAAATATATTGTTTCTAATCACGTATCGTAGCAATACGTAATGTGATAATAACCCCTACCGTAAATCGGTTAAATTGCATTGAAGACCTCCGGTCGTTACGCGAAGTGGCGAAATACAAAGTACTGATATTCGCGATGAATTGAAAGTACTTCACGAATAATCCCATTTCACAGTTTTTCACATGCGTTTTCCCCCAAATGAAATGTGAACTACTGTATTGCATATAATTTGAATAATAATCCCTACCGTAAATCGGTGAAATTGCATTGAAGACCTCCTGTCGTTATACATCTCCTTAGCGTCACGCTTCGCAACGGTTATTCTGTCCCTTCTCTCGAGCTTCCAAGTTCGATGAGCAATTTCATTAGCGAATTTATATTTCCTTTTTTTTATTTTTATTTCTTCCGCCCTTCCTGGAGTGCTCAACCTCGAAGCCAACAAACATCTCCCTCGACACATTGCCGCCATGGAATGAACCACAACTGTTTTAACCCGGGTAAAAACGTTCGGGATGTAATTCAGCGAAATTCGGCAATCGAAAACGGCAATCCCTGGCGTAATCCTAAACGACACTCATACAGAACTGTCACTAAAAATCACTACCATCCTTCCCACAATTAAACAACAACACAATAACCTTTATCTTCATCGCACTCGGAAGAATAATACGTCACCAAAGATTCTTTTACTGCCCATTCGTGGTCTTTTGCTGAGCCGCCATTTTCTGTTGCATTACTGCAATACACATTTCCAAATTTTCCCGTTTTTCCGCCAAAACCTGGAAAAAAATTTCCGGAAATTTTTCTACATATTTCTCATAATATAAACAAATGCGGTTGCAATAAACAGCGATCTAATCACGATTTCACGCCGATGAAAAAAATCACAAAATTTTCAACATAAAAATTCATAAAACCCATCACGTCTCCCACATTCCTCGTATCGCTTCTCGTCACTCATGTGTGTCAATATTTTCAGAAATATTTTCAGAAATATTTTCAGAAAAATTCTCAGAAATATTTTTATCGATATTTTCAGGAAAATTTTCCCCCGAAAAATCGTTAAATTTTTCCCTACTTTTGCGAGATTTCCAATATTTCCGTTAATCATCCCCGATCGATCTTCACAGTGTTTCTGAGCCGCCGCAGTTGGCTTTTCCACAAAATATCTAAGGTTCCCCGTGATAAGATTCAAATCAGGTCCGAATTATGCTCACCCCGTCCCCACGTTCAACAGAACCTTATCAACCTCGCATGCTTCACCTGAAAATAATTTCCACCCAAGTTCGACTCCCACCCCCTGCATTTTTCAGAAAATAATTACGTCAAGTAAAAACAATAATAATGGAGCTCACAAAAACACCAGTGAAAAAAATATTTCACAACTACTTCATATCACCGCGAATATCGCGTTTTTCACTTCACGTAAAACTCCAATGAATTTCTTATATGTGAGGCCATACGAAGTGACTTGAAAATACTTTTCGCACTTAATTATTAAAATAATATATGTTTATCAACTACTTTGATTAGTAATCATGATAAAAATAATAATTTATCGTTAATGGGTATATATTTACATAAATGACTAGTAATATTAATAACCATATAATAATGCCTTGTATTTATACTAATATTAATAATAATATATATTTTTTTCCAATTATTATCCCTTTATAAATATGTACTCAATAGATATTTATATACAATTATATATTAGTAATTAGATAGATTTATACTAATAACTATACCATTAATTACAATAAATTTATATCATATTTACATATTAAAATCATTGCGTTTTACGCGTTTTTCACCTCGCGGTTTACTTTCTATTATTACCTCTCACATAAACTGAATTACTCAGTGGTACCAAACTCAGCTTCCCCTCATCCTTATCGGAACTCATCCCTCCGAGAGCGCGGGCGCTCATATCGTATCTAGATAAAAAATATGAGATCAACGAAATTGCAGAGCTATATATACAACAAATCGGATCATCTCGAGTGTGCGTCGAATTTCCCCCTCGATCACACCTGATAGCGCCACAATATGGTCCATGCGTTAGTTTTACACAAACATTGGAAAAAGTATGCGAAAGAATCATTTCACCACAACTAGGGAGAGCTTGAGCTCGGTTGGGTACCAGCGACAACACCTAGGAATATACGAGGCGAAATATTTATTCGTATGAAAATTACCGATCCTAGGAATAGAACCAGAGACCAACGTCGTGAATCAGGAAGTCATCCACCTCTCAGAAACAACGTTCTTAAGATCTGGGAAAAATGCTCCGAATGAGCGATTATACTGGAGAAAAATGCTCCGAATGAGCGATTATACTGGGGAAAATTGGTCCGAATGAGCGATTATACTGGGGAAAATTGGTCCGAATGAGCGATTATACTGGGGAAAATTGGTCCGAATATATATTCCTAGCCATTTTTGAGAATCTCTCCGGAAACATTTCTAGAGTTCTAGATCCAAATCATCAGCTCAACAACTTCGTTGAGAAGGCCTAGTATTGGAGTTTCACAACAACCAGTTTCACGTGAAGTGGCATCGTAATACTCCATGTGAAAAGCTTGCGCGATATGAAGTGAAAATACTTGAAGAGTTATATCGGATGAATCACCCCGTAAAGAGCGAAAA